ACAATTTTCGATACTCATTCTGGTATGAGGCAACGTTCACAGTAGGGTTTCTTATGTACCTAGTCCGTTACCATCTCTCAGGATATCCAGTAAGGCTATCATTCATTCATTCACTTAAGCAAGTAATTTTTCGTTTACATTTAATTTTTAGTTTCACAATTTAACTTTAAATCACGCAAAACAAGCAATACATGCATTAAGAAAATATAATTGAATCATCTTACTAACTTTAGTGTATTATTATGTCTTTAAAACTGTAAAATCAATCAATCAGTTAAAACATGACAAACAGTAATAAATAATCAGTTTCAGCTCTATTAGTAACTTGTAATTAATTATCGAAGTTTTCTAAATTACGTAAAATACAATATTATTTATAATTAAACTTCAATTCTATAATAGGAGATAAGGTAAGAGATTCTTACTCGAATTGATGTCCGAAACACTAAACTTTCAGCTACGCCTACTAACATTTCTCGGGCTTTTTGATTTTTTTTTCGGAGATTAAAACACATTTTAAGTACCTAAAAATACCCTTAAAAACTCAAATTTGGTGTTATAAACATTTTTCGACAATTTTAAAAATTCCAGCATAGCAGCACCGCCCTGCTCCGACAACGGCATTGTCGCTCGCGACGGTGATTTGCCTCGAACTGGCTATTTTTGGCCAGTTTTGGTCGATTCTGGTCGGTTTTATGCTCATCCTTGCAAGAAAATACGTTAAGAAATTTCAGTTTGCCCTAAAAAAATTAAAAAAATAAAAACTCACTAGCGGTGGAATTTTTTAGTACAGCGGCTCCGCCGGCTCACCTTCGCAGTTGAGCATTTTTCTTCGGTCAACCTGTAGAAAACATAATAGTAATTACAATTGTGAAAAATTGCACAAAACAGAAATCGGGAATGGGCTCATTGGAGGTAGTTTTTTATTTTTTTCGTAGCGGCACCGCCGGACTTTACCCACAGTTTCCGGCTCATCTGCTGGTTCTTTTACTTTGATTTGGCCATGGAAGTGTTCAAAATAAAATTTCGAGCGAATAAAATTTTTTTTACCTTTTTTGGCAGTCGAAGGTAGCTCCAGTGTGGCGGCGGTCGACTCCCTTCTCTGGCGACTGGTTCTTCTTCTCCAGCGGGGGGCTGACAGTTAGGGTTAGGGTTCAGTGTGGAGTGAGGTATTTATATCCATCTCTCTTTAATTTGAACCGTTCATTGCGTTTGATCTCGACTATATGATTGAGTTTAAAGAAGAAATGAATCTGCATCGTTTATCGCGATTTGATCTGAACAATACGATCTCATTTAAAGAGAAATAAATCTGGACTATTTATCACATTTAATCGCGACGGTCTGATCGTGTTTGAAGAGGGAACAGATTCGGACCGTCCACGTACACAGAAACAAATCTGAACCATCCGATCGCGAGTATGTAGATTGCCAGCGTGACCTCCTGTGTAGCACTGAGGCAGCGTGCTTACCACGCGGTGCACTCCCCTTCGTCGGGGCTGCTGACTGGACAGTCCTACGTGACACATTTTTTTTTAATTACGATTTGACCCTCATTTCTGATTTTTTCTTTCAAAGTATCATCTGAACTAAATTTTCACCCTTTTTTTAAAAATATTTTCAATTTCATCATGCATCTATTTTTTCTAATTTTTACATTAAATAAAAATTTATAAATTGAAAAATTATATTTAAATATATTTATTTTTTAAAAAAATTAATCTCGGACAAAATTTCGGGCTCACATATTACAAAATATTTCTTCTTAAAAAACAAACAAAAATAAAAAAATAAATAAAAGACAAATGACGAAGTATTATACAATGACTTTCACTAACTTTTGAAGGGATTTAATGTGGTAAACTGTTCATAACCCTCTTGTTGATCAATTTTTGAATTTTCGTCCTCTTGATCTAAAATAATTAATGAAATATGGAGGTACATTAGTTTAGTAAGAATATCACACTACTTATCGATACAGAAAGTAAAGGTTGATAAAAATAATAAAAATAACATGTGTAACTCTTGATTTAACTAAATTCATTTATCATAAGAAAAATTATTTATTGCATATATTCAATGTTGCGAAATTTTGCTCGCAGCGATGTCGTTGAGCTGTACTCGCAGTTTTTAAGTCACCCACCATTTTTTTTGCTCCGATTTAGCTATGAGGGTGCTCAGAATCAAATTTCGAGTTGACAGAAGAAATTTTTTTTTTTTTTTTTTTTGCGGTCGGAGATCTGATGTGGCGACGGTCGATGGTCGGCTCTCTTCTCCAGTGACTGGTTCTTATTCTCCAGCAGGAGGCTGGTGGCTAGAGTTTGAGTTCAGTATGATATGAAATATTTATACCTATCTCATGTTAATCTGCGTCGTTCATCGTGTTTGATCTCGATCATCCGATCGTGTTTAAAAAAGAAATGAATCTAGACCGTTCATCGCGATTTGATCTCGATTGTCCGATCGCGTTTAAAGGATAAACAAATCCAGACCATCCACACGCGCGGAATTGATCTTGGGCTGTTCGATCGCGGGGCATGTGGATCACCCGTGTGGTATCCTGCGTGGCACCCCGTGTCCGCGCACATTGTCACGCAGCGTGCTCTGATTCGTTGGGATTTCTGACTGGGCGGTCCTACGTAACAAAATTCTTCTTATTTGCACTATAATCTCTAGTTTTTTATTTTTTTTTCAAAAATACTTCCCGTACCTAAATTTTTACTTATTTTTTTCAAAATTATTTTCAATTTTATTTCATAACCTATTTTTTTCCATAATTCAATAAAAAATTAAAATAAATTAAATTAAAAATAATTTTTTATTTATTTAAAATATTAAAATTAATCACATATTAAATTTCAAACTTGGGTATTATAATCTACATTTTATACCTAAATTAGTTTTTGTATATATACATATATATATATATATATTATCTTACCTAAGTTACATAACTTTCAAATTTCTTAATTGGGATTTAACCACTTAGTTCAAAAATGAATACATCCTAAAAAATGTACCAAACACTTTAAAGGCCAATTTCTAGATAAAGACAAAATAATTAGACAAGAAAATAACTTATGATAACTAAACATTTCATGGAAAAAGAAATTAGTCACACAGACATCCAAGTGAACAAATAAACATATGACTATACCGTGCATACCCAAAATTGGAAGAAAAAATTAAAATAAAACTACAAAATCAAAATAGAATAAGAACAATAAAAAAATATTAACTCGAAATAATAACAGACATTTAATTAATCTTATAAAAAATTACATACATCAATTAAATATGACGTATTATAAAATAAAATATAAAAAAATATACTTTATATAATTACAATTATCGTAAATAACTAAATTAGTTATTAAAATTTTGTGATTGTTATAATTTATTTTTAATATTTTTTTATTATAATCTAATTTATAATATTTTTTATTTATTTTAAATATATAATTTTTTTAATGTTTCTTGATTAAAAAAATTTTAGAATAATTACATCATGTTTGAACGTTGAAAGTTAAATTATAAAAAAATTAAAAATTAATAAGTGATAAATTTTAAAAAAGTTTATTTAATAATTGACTCTTATAATTATTAAAAAATATATTTTTTATACATAACAAACTTAGAAATCAATAATAGTGATATTATACTCACAAATTTATAAGAACACACCTAAAAAAGTTTCAATTATTTAGGCTTCTTTTATTTTTATTGTTATTGTCATCAACTTTATATTATAATAGTATCATAAAACTAATACTCTTTTAGAATAGTTATTGTTATCATTATTTTGCATTTATTATATATATTACATAATAAATTTTCATATAATATAATAATCATGTAAATAGAATTTTAATGAAGGAAAATCTTAACTTGAATGCAATATTGGATAAAATAAGTCTAATTAATAATTGCAAAAATATAAATAATATATTATAATTTATTAAGAATAAGTTTAATATATATATATATATACACACACACACACACACACATAAACTTAAAAAAAGCAGAGGATTCTATTCAACTTTTGCTTTGTTGGTGAGATTATGATCTCTCCATTTTTCAACCAGGTGAGTCCAATTTTCTCTCTCCTCAAAGTTCTTCGTCCATTTTCTCTTTTCATTTTCTTTTTAATTCACTACAAAACTTTTGCATACTCCAACCAACCCCTTACCATCACAGACTCTTTCTTTCTCTGTTACAGCCTATATTGTCTTCATCCTTATCAAATTGCCTGATTTTGAATTTGCTTCGATTTCGCTTTATCGGGTTTTCAAATTTTCTGCAACTTCTTTTCTTTGAACCATTTGTGCTCGAACCAGAATCCCTCGGATAAAAGTCCTCTGTTTCTACTTTTTTTTTTTCTTTTGGATACTTGGTCGATGATCATCTGATTGCTTTGGTTTCCATTTCATTGAATTCTTGAGGTGAGTTTGTGCTTCAATTGTTAGAGCATTCTCTTTTGCCTCGCATATTTGCTTCTAATAAGTTTGTTTTTGCATGGATCTATTGCATAAGGGTTTCGTTCTCATTCGAATCTTCCTTTCCATTGGAGCAGATTGGTGAGAGTATCAGAAGAAAAACAGAGGCTTTGTAATGGGTCGTGATGGATATAAATTTGGGGATAAAATTAGGAGATTCTCAGCCATGTCAATTAAGGCATGTTATAGATCAGTGTGCAATCATCCATTTCTTGTGGGTATGGTGTGTTTCTTAATATTTTTGTACAGATCTTTTCCTTTTCTGTTCTCCCTTTTGGTTTCTGCATCTCCTGTTTTGGTTTCCACTGCTATTCTGCTTGGGGTCCTCTTGAGTTTTGGGCAGCCTAACATACCCGAAATTGATAAGGAAGAGAAAATCACCCATGAGAGTGCTCCCCTCAAAACTGAGGTTGCAAAAGATACAACACTTGTTGAGAGGGACCAGAGTTTTACCGTGGAGAGATATGTGGGAAAAGAGAGAGACGTAGTAGAGGATGGCTATGGAGAAACTAGGTTGAGGAAGAGTCTAGTGAGTGAGATTGAGGAAGATAACACTTCGGTTGATGATAGGCCCTTCATTGACGAGAGTTCTCGGGAAATTAAATTTGAGAAGCGAGCTGTTGAGGAACTGGAGAGAGAGTTTTATCCGGAATCAGAAAAGAATGGTGAAGTTCGTGAGGAGAAACCCATAATTGAAGCTTTAACTGATGGGGAAGTGATTCAGAATGAAAAGGTAGCTGATAAGAATCTTGAGGTGGAAGATGATAGGTTCCGAAAAGAGATTGTTGAAGCTGAGAAAGAGGATCCTATAGACATTACTTCTCCAGTTTCTCCTTGGAAACCTCTGAGGCCTGAAGATGACGATGATGATGCTAATGATGGTGATGAATCCTTGGATTCTGGGTCTGATGGTGCAGAGAGCTCCTCGCCAGATGCTTCAATGGCGGACATTATCCCAATACTAGATGAGCTCCACCCACTTTTAGACTCAGAAGCTCCCCAACCTGTTCATATGTCACGTGAAGTAGGATCTGATGCTGCTTCAGAGGGTCCTAATGGGAGCACTGATGATGGCGATGAATCTGATGTTGATACAGAAGATCCGGCAGAAGAAGGTGAGGAAGATAATGATGATGACGATGACGACGAGGAAGGAGAAACCCGAGGAGATAAAGAGGATGGAAGTAAATCGGCAATTAAGTGGACGGAGGATGATGAAAAGAATCTCATCGATCTGGGTAGTTTGGAACTTGAAAGAAACTTACGCCTGGAGAATCTTATTGCAAGGAGAAGAGCTCGTAAAACCTCGAGATTTATCACTGAGAAGAATCTTATTGACTTGGATGGTGCTGACATTCCTTTTAATATTCCACCTATCACTACCAAGCGTAACCCATTTGATGTTCCTTATGATTCCTATGATGATTTGGGACCCATTCCTGGGTCTGCTCCATCCATCTTGTTGCCTAGACGAAATCCCTTTGATCTTCCATATGATCCAAATGAGGAAAAGCCTGATCTCAAGGCAGATAGTTTCCAAGAAGAATTCTCTGGGTTCCACCAAAAGGAATGCATGTTCCGTAGGCATGAAAGCTTTACTGCTGGACCATCAATCTTCGGGCTTCCTAAGCAAGAGAGACAAGATGTTAAATTGAGACCCTATTTTGTCCCAGAGCGGTTGGCTTCAGAGGGAACAAGCTATCCCTCATTTGAAAGGCAACTGAGTGAGGTTAGCGAGTCAAAGGTGAGTTCTGTTCCTGACACTGAGTCAGTAAGTTCTGCTGCAGAGGAGGACAAGAAGCTCAATGAACAAGATGTTTCTGAACAAAATGAGGTGATGTCTAATGCAGACCATTCTTCTGTCCGTGATGAAAATAGAAGTCAGTCATCAGAAGAAGTTGGTTCTGTGGATATTGAACAAGCTGAGAAGAGAGATGTTCACCATGATGTGGTAGAAATAACATTGGGGGATATGGAAACCCATCATGAAATTGAATCAAGTTTATCTGAAGCAGTAGCAACCAATCTTGTTGAACTTGATTCTTGTTTAGTTAATTCCAGAAGAGATCTGGTTGAAGGGGATTACAGTCTTAGGTCAAGCTTGTCATCATTGTCAGGAGTAGATGAAAAATTTACTGACATGAAAACAGTAGCCTCAACAAGTTTGGAGCCAGGTGATCATGTTGAGGACTCTAGACTTTCTCCTAAACCTTCCCTTGAGGAGTCAGAGTTTCATTTTACAAGTGTGGGACCAGATGACCAACAACACAGAGAGCCTGTTTATGATTCAAGCCCCCCGCCAGTTGCAAAGTTCCTATCCTTTTCTTCCACATCTTCTGATTACCAATTAGAAACGGATGAAATGCGATCTCCTCCAGCAAGGGTTGATTTGACAGAAAAGGGATCTGAAATTTGTTATGAAGGCACAAAAAAGAATGCTTTTGATTTTGAAGAGGTTCATGCTGCCTCATCACTGCATACAATGGATGAAACAGAATCCATATCAAGGGAAGTCGTGGAGAAAAACAAGCATGACTTTTCAGAGGCCGGGTTGTCAAAAATTGATACTAGATTTGATGGGCAAAATGGATTTATGGTGTCTGAATCTGTGCTTCAGAATGTTTCTGTTAATGCTAGTTCCTCATCTTCCAAGAAAGAGGGGGACTTAGATCTTGACCAGGATCAGGTGCACTTGTCTAGTGTTAACAATGAGATGCTGGGCAGGGTCCATCAAGAGGTAAATGGGACATCTGATTTTTCACATTCAAGTCATAAGTTGGCTTATCAGGATTCACATATGCCTGAAACAGAGAAAAAACAAGCTTCAATGTTGGCTGAACGCATCCCAATGCTGGAGCCTAGTTTGTCTTCTTTAGATGTGGATCATTTGGAGAAGAATGGAATGGATGGGTCAGTTGCAGAAGGCACATCACGTCCCGGAAAAATCAATTTGTCTAAACAGATTCAAACATTTTATAGCTTTGATACAGATGTCTTTGTTTGTGACCACGAGCATGTTGATAAAGAGCTTTCATCATCAGCTTCATTTATATCTTCTGGTGATTTAACATTGTCTGCAAATGAGCAACAGCCACCATTGGCAGCCAAGCAAGTTTCAGATGGTCACTCCAACTTGTTTTCTTCGGAGGTTCAACATCCTGAGGTGTACTCATTAGGTAAGGAAGATGTTCTTCAGTTTAGATCAGATCAAGCCCAATCATCAAACTCCGATGAAAAGATTGACTCTCATGTCTACCAAAATATGGATGTGAAAGTGGTTTCTGTTGATAGCAATCAATATGCACATTCTAAAGAGAATTATCAATCTAAATTAGAGAAACGGCTCTCCTGGTCAGATAAATCTGTGGTGGAACCATTCATCTCTGATAACCTCGAACACCAAGTAAGACATGCAATTTTGCTTCTTGTTAAATCATGTAGTTCATACTCCCAAAACATTATTTATATTGTCCTATCTTCTCTTTCCCCCTTTTAATTTCAAAACGGTATCTCTACTGACTCAATGATCCATTTCACCAGTATGTAGTCTATATTACTTTTTTCATTTATATTATGTGGCATAGTTGAATGTGGGGCTTGTCAATCCTTCATGAATTCCTTTGTGGGCTATAATAGAATCACGATTGCCCCTCTGGCCCCTGGTATCATCACGGTGTCTTTTCTCCCTTTCTTTGTGTCTGATAAAAAGTTGCTATAAGGATAGGAAGCTGACATAAAAAGTTAAATTACAAGAAGATCTTGATTAATTGTTAAGGCATAAGGAACATTTGGAGCAGAAGGTGCTTCCTCCCTGGCAGATCATTAAGATATTAGTCGTGTGATTGGTTTACAAATGTAATCTATGTATGCTGTGGCTTTGATGTTTAAGCAGTTTATAACCAATGCTTCTTCTCAGTTAGATGCCCTTCTGATCATTTAGATGTGTTTGCTTCAATGGATTTGAAACACATGCATGTTTGGCTTCTGTTTGTATATGACATGTCTAATCTACATAACTTTTTGTTTCTCACCTCATCTCGGGTGGAGGGGAGGACAGCTGTTTTTTCTAGAATGGTCATAAAACTCTTTAATGTCTTTTTATGGTCAAATAGATCTCTCAACATGCTTCAATTTTGACAAACTTATTGACATTCATGCAAAGTCACCATCTCGAAAAATTTTCAAAAAGGAACATTCATGCCAAGACTAAACTATCTAGCTGCTTTGATTTTACTCAGGAGACATCAACTTCCCTGATTGGATCTGCTGACGGAGTAAACTCTACGAGCAATGCCAATTTACAAGAAATCCATGATCCTGATAACAGAATTTTAGCAAATTTATCACAATTAACTTCAGATTTAATGTCATCACCATTGGGGAGCCCTGAATACAAATCACCTTCTGCAGGAGATGATATGAGTGTTGAAATCCTTGATGGAATTGTCTACGAGGACTGCAGTTGTGGTTCAGAACCCTTGGCCTGTTCAGAAGAACATGATTCTCATGTTGCTGATGGAAATATTCATGAAGAGCCAGACGAGATCAAGGAGATTGATGAAGGATTGTTGTCAGAACTGGATACAATTGGGGACTTCAGCGTGAAGGAAGTTGTAGGTGAGTCAATGGACGATCAGCTTTTATCAGAGGGGAGAAATTTTGGGAATCCTGAATTTGGGTTCTCACTGGAAGACTCAACCCTGAAAGAAAAAAATATGGAGCTTCCTGCACTTGAAGTGAGATCTGTTGAAGATATTGACTCAGCTTTTAGACAGATTCATGAGGGAGCTGATGTCGAGGAAGTCATCCTTCCCAGCATGGTTGAGGATCAGCTAGCTGCAGATAAATTGAAAGATGCCGTGGATGTCAAATCAGAATTGCCAGTAGTTGAAGCAAGATCATTGGAAGATATGCATATTGTTTTGAAGCAGGTCTTAGAAAGTCATGTAGATGAGCTGCTAAAACCATCGGGATCAATGGATGAGGCTTCAGAACAAGGAGTCAATTATTCCCATCAAATCATGTCAGAGTTTCCTGTTGTTGAAGCTAGGTCAGTGGATGATATGCATACTGTATTGAAGCAGGAATCAGAAGGAAACATGGGTGGGCTTCCAGAAGTAGAAGCCAACAATCATGTGGTAGTCGAGTCAGAGTTACCCATTGTGGAAGCAAGATCTCTCGAAGATATACATATCACCATGGAGCAGGTAGCAGCGGGCAAACTCGATGAGCTGCCAAAATTCTTGGAGAAGGATACTCCAGCAGGGGTTGAAGCCAAGAATGAGGTATCTAGGAAAGACATTGAATCTAGCAATGCAGAATCAAACATCAAAGAGAGCACTCCTCCTATAGATGAACAAAAACTTGGTTCTGAAGAAACATCTGAAATTTTGAGTTTGAGCAAATCTGACGGAAGTAAGGAGAAGGGAAAATCTGTTAGATCTAGTTCCAGTTCCAGCGCCAGCTCGGACTCCAGTTCTAGTGATTCTGATTGAAAAAAAGCTTATGGTTTTCCTCCTGGATGAAGGGTGTTTGGTATTTTAACATCTCATTTTGATTTTTTTTCCTATTTAGGGTAATTGAGTCTTTTGATTGATTGATTTCTTCAAGAATGAGTTTTGGTTTGATTTCTTGAAGTGTGAAATTTTTGTTGCTCTATTTCACTCTTGGAGAGGGCAGTTTCAAGGGTTTATATATATATATATATATATATATTATGTATGAGAGAGATTGGTTTTGATCCTTGCATATTGTAAATTACTATATTTTGGTTTTCGAAGTGGGAGTTTCTAGATGTGCAGTGTGGAACTGTAATACTTTGGTTTAATCTTTAATTTGTCAATACATGTTTGATATCATACTTGTGGAAAAATTATTGCACAGGCGGGAAGCATCACATATGTATTTTGATTGATTATTACTAAAATTCATATATAATTATTATTATTTTTTTACAATTTATTTTGGCAGACCAATTAAATATTACTCGGTATTGTGAAATTTTAAAATGAATATATATATATATATATATATATATATTTCATTAATTAAGTAGATATTTGAGACAGTTGTAATTTGTGCTGAGTTAAAGCAATCACTGACTAAAATTGATTTTAATCAAAATTTATTTAGTATTTGGTAAGAAATATCTTTACCAAGTGCTGTTAATTTAAAATAAAAGTTTTATATTGTGTGAAATTGACTTTTGAAATTTAATTTAAATTTTTTAATAAAAGTGAAAGCTATTTTTTAAAAACAATACATTAAAAGTAGATTTTGACAAAAATTATTTTTTAAAAACTATAACTTGTACTTTTTAATTTTAATTGTTATAAAAAAACACTCTGTATTTTATCAATTTAATTACAAAAATATTTCTAAAACATAAAAATTGAAACTAAAAAGTTAAATTATATACCTTTCTTAAGAAACAAATATATATTAATTATAATACTACATAACACTCAAAAAAATGCCAAATCCTTACCCTAGCATACAATTTAGTGGTCATACCTCTTAACTATCTTATCATACTGTAAATTTTTTTAAGTAAAAATATATATGTTTTATTAATTGAAGAATTTATACACATTAATTATAATACAATAAAACATTAAAAAATGTAAAGATATACATTTGACATCTACTCCAACGGTCGTCATATCTTATGTTCAAATAAAGAAATTGTATTTAAATATATAACCTCTTATATATACGTGTATCTCTCTCTATATATATATATATATGTATATGTATATATTTGGGACGGTGACACATCATTCAAATTTTTTGCTCCATCAGTCAACAATATTTCCGATCATATCTCTTCTAACCTCAAAGTACAAATTTGTTTATGATTACTTGAAAAGCACACAACACAACGCACTGTCTTTTCTTCCTTTTTGGTTGGCCGGCCACTTAATTAGACTTGTTTTAGCATCTTCACATAGAAATCCAATTTCATAATTACAAACAGTGTTTTGACTTAAATCTTTTTTCAATTATGTACTCGAGTAATACTTTTACTTTTCGTGTATATCAAACTGCTCTCACCAAAATATTTTTAAGAAATTAATAGAAAACAATATTTATTTTAAAAAGTTTTAAAATAATATATAAATAAATTATTATTTGGAAACCTTCTAAATTTGTATACTTTAAGATGAATGGAAGATGTTCTAAACTTTCCCCCCATTTCAAAGGGAAAAAAAAAAGAAAAAAGAAAAAAAAGGAAAAAGAGAGAGATGCTCTAAAGTTTATTGCTCTGGTATTTCATATTTAAAGCTTCAATCTGTGTAAAGTATCTAAAAAGAGTAGGCAAAAAAGCTCTTTAGCCGACATGATGATTTTCTCAAGTGAGAAACTTACCAGCTTAAATACTAAAAGAAGAAGAAAGGATTAAACAAAACCAAGAGAGAAAAATCGAAGATTTCAAAGATGCTTGACTGTTGAGAAAGTTAAGGTGTATATGCAACATGAATGGGTGGCTACTTTCGGTATTGGCTTGTTGAGAAAGTTTAGATTCTACATCACCCAAAAAAAATTCCAACTTATATACTTTGAAGTTCCATTATTAGATATTTCTTAATTCAGATTTGGCTTTTCCCACCCACCATTGCTCTTCTAGATTTTGTGTATTTATATATATATATATATATATGTGTGTGTGTTATGTATCGCTTGACTATTGTTAAATAGAGTTATCTTGGCTCTTATACAATTAAGTGACATTTCATTTTGCTTAATTTTTATTATATTCTTACTTGATGACGATTATAGTTCTTTTTTATCTTAAATTCTAAACTTTAATATAGAGAATTAGAATGTTTGTCGTCAACCCCTGGAATTCGACAAAACAAACATTAAAAGAAGTGACTAATTTTCTTTATGCATTTAATAAGTTTGGGCTATTTACAACAATCATAGTCCTAATTTATCTCTCTCTTCAAAGCCCAACATTTTTTTTATAAGTTATATCTTACTATCAAATTATTTTACTCAGTTTCTTATTTTTCTTACACTCAAAATTCATTTATAAATTATAAATTATAATAAAAATATCAAACTTAAACAAAATTTCTATTTTCATACCTAAAATAGTTTAAATATAAGGACAATATCATTCTCAACTTCTTTTATATTCAATATACGGTTAGTATATCCATCATTATCGTCAGAATATGACTTTGAGTCCTAAATTATATAATCTTTGTTATAAGACAACCGATTAAAAAAAGAGCAGCCGATTAAAAGAAAGAAGAACTGCATAGCATTGACTTGTTTCTTATGAACTTATCATGAATTTTCCACTTTGATATACATAAGGTAAGGTGAACGCAATGCTATGATGATGCTATGACACTATATTTGCTAATGATCATGGTATGGAATTTATCAACAATGAAGAGAATGAGAGATGTACAACACCTAGAAGGAAAGAAAAACAGTACACAAAATTTTACTGCCTTTGTTTCTTCTGCACTGGTCCTGTAGAAGTCCCTGCCTGCCAAAAAGAAAAAAAAAATACACAAAAACTAGAAACTTTAGTTTTGCTAAAAGATGCCAAAGAAACTGATTATTCAGCAGATCACAAAAATCAAAATTCCCATAAATTCCATGCATATTCCATAAGTCTACCTAACTGGGTTCATAACAGGGATACGTTAATCAAGGCAGTTTCCCCTGTAGGAAATTTGGGTAAGGTTCGGGCCCTTGTAAGGACAGTTGAACAAAAAACAAATCAAAGAATAAAAGAGGGATGCACTGACATGGCTGTGGCGTTTCTTTAGCTGGAGATGAAACATTTGAGTAACAATAATTGGAGTACACGCATCACACCAAAGGATTAAATTGTACCTTTGTCTGGAGTGTGACTATTTTAAAGAGTATTTATTTCAGGTAAATGTTGACAGTAAACAGTAAACTGAAAAATATGATGGTAATAATTAGAAATTACAATTCAAACCAATCAAAGAACTTACCACATTTGATAGTTGCTCACTTATGTAGGTCATGGATCCTAACATGGCTTCAAGTGTGTCTCTAGTAAGCTGAAATTTCACTTCTGTTTCTCCTGAAGGTGACTTGGTGTAATCCTGCAGCTGTAAAATGAAGATGAAATAAAAGAAATATATCATCAAGCATAAATCATGTTGTATTAACAGGTAGACGCAATTATGCATCAAATGTGTAAATTATAACTAACTTTTACATATCAAATTATTAAAATCTTGGAATTGAATGGGAATAGAATAGGATTGGACCAAATGCAACATCATAATCACTAAATGAAATATATGGAACATCTGCTAGGCTTCTTGATGTTACTCAACTCTTCGTTAATCATATCAAACCTATATGATTTGAATACCTTAAGAGTGACAATGGCCACTTTATTAGCTGGTGCAGACTTGCAGTTCTCCATGGTCCACGTCATTGACTTGAGGCGTGGTAGAGTTCCCTGTCCATACAGAAAGAACCAATTTAGGGAAGTTTCCAGCAATACCATGTTACCACATGAAATATAGGATGAATAAACAAATGCTAATTTAGAAACAATGAGATCTTTTTAAGAAAAAATATGCCTTTCCTGATGCAAATATTAAACAATAGAACAGTAAAATCAGATACCTAAATTAGCTTCGGTATTGAAAGTTAGCATAAACTCTTAATGTTTTTCAGAAATAATTGAACCCCAACAAAAACAATCTCTTCTCTGCATTGAAGCTGGAGCATCTTGATAGTAACTAACTAGGAACCACATTTTTTCTAATTTACACTGGTCCAGAAATAAGTGATGTCTTACTTTTTTTGGGGAGAAAAAGAAATGCTTTTAGAAAGAGAGAAAAGAATTAGATGCTGAGATGGATAAGTATCCTCCAGCAAAAATAAAAGGAAGAAACACAGATGAATAAAGAGGATGCATGAGAACAAAATAGTATCTCAATCATGCAACATGGGTAAAGATATCCCCACTAAAAGTTCATGGGCCTTAGAGCAAAGAGAAGCAAGAAAATCAGAGAAGTAACTTAGCTGTGTACCTTTCCCTATGGAGTTCAGTGTTTTGGATTCAATACTTCACGAGCCTCTCAGGGATACGCAAAAATAAAAGAAAGAGAAAGAAACAAGAAACACCATCCTTTCCCAAAGAATGATAAGTGTTTGAGCTTTTCGCTTAAAATATCTCCCATGTTTTTCGATGAAAGACCCATAGCCCTGCCAAGATAGTCCCTCCTCAGAGCAGTAACTTAGCCCTGTACCTTCCCCTAAGTGGAATTCAGTGTTTTGGATTCAACTCTTTACAGGTGAGGTGCCTTAGGGACAAGAAGAAACAAAAGATAGAGAGAGAAGCAAGAAAAATTATCCTATCCCAAAGAGTGATAACTTTTTGAGATTGTTGCTTAAAAGTTCTCTTATGTTTTTCCAACGGAAAGACCCGTAGCCTGTAAGATAGACCCTCTCCAGATCACCATTTATTCCTCACGCTACCCAAAAGTCAAAGCCATCCAAAGGAGTGGATATAAATGCCTCCAGGTGAGGAGAACACAGCTAGGGAACAGTGCATCAAGGCACTGCACGCTGAAGAAACAAATGAAGATTACATTCTGAACTCAGAAAGCACATCAAACATATATACAAAGAAAGAGCTCTAAGAGGTCCATGAGCCTGCCCAAAAAATAAGTTCTTGGTATTAGTATCTTGTTTGTGCATCCATGGAGAATTTCTATATCTCCTTCTAAGAAGGAATCAAAAGTTAATTATATGAATAGCATTGGACGCAAGTAATTTTCCACGGATGATAGGGAAGCCCAAAGATAAGAGTAAATGATGTCTAAGAAAATTCAAGAAAAAAGATACACCCGGTAAAGCACCTCCTCATAATAATGATTTTCTTTTTTCTTTTTAGAGAAAAGGATAATGGAAAAAAATGGCACCAAGTGCTACTCATGTACGGGCAAACAATTACAAGTTTCTTAAAGAGAAATGTCATAGAAATACATAAAATCAGCCCCATCAACAAGAAGGCAACCTATAAACAAAATATGAAGTATTGTAAGCCAATAACCTCTGATGCCGGCAAGAGGGGAGCATCTATTTTCAAAACTCTCTTGTTTCTCTCTTCGACCCAGGAAATGGGTGGGGATGGGGCAAAACGAATTCCCCTCTTGGTTAGGAAGCAGGATGCCATGCAAAACCGATAATTTCATCTTCGACTTAGCCCTGACTGCCCAACAAGGTTAACATGCTGGAGAGCAAAATCCCACAGCCTCCTCACTTTAGGATATCAGAGGAGAAAATGCGTGGGATTTGCGCTCTTTGTCGCAAAGAAAGCACTTGTTCTGCCATTATTCTGCCTTTTTTCATGAGATTATTTATCATTAAAATCCTCCATGATGCAGCTCCCAGCTAAAAAAGGCAATTCCCAATTTCACCTTCCAAATTTGTTCGGCACAAACATGTCCAGGATCTCATCAGAGGCCATCATGTAATTGTGTAGGCTAATAGTAAATCTACCATCCTTAGAAAGCTTCCAAACAGGAGTATCCTCAGTGTGCTACTGAATAAAATTTGACTCCATCCAAGCCATAAACATAATGCAATTGTTAACCTCCCAGCTCCATATTACATAGGAGATGCTCTAAGGGATTCCACCAATTATACACCTCAAAAACAACTGACAGTCCTTGCCTCCTTGAACCTGGAAACAGACTATATAGAGGGAAATGTCTGTTTCAATATCCTATTATGACACCAACAATCATCCCAGCATTTAATCTGCTTCCCATTTCCCACCTTGAAATGAATGTAATTGCTCAAATATGACCGGTTCCTTTCAATTCACCTCTAGGGACTAGGGCCAAAAGCACCTCTACTTGGCACAAACACCACTCCACCATCGTCAGGCCAAACTTTACGCTAACATGTTTCCACCCAAGAGAATCCAGACAATAGAAGAACTTCCATTTCCTTTCATTAGAAGTGGATGTGAAACTCTCTAAGATCTAACCAAGCCCCCTTGGTTCTTTGGATGTTTCACATAATTCCCAACAACCAAGCAGTACTTAATGTCATTGACATCACCTCATAGAAAATGGTGTTTGATAGCCTCAATCTGCTCAGCAACTTACCTCAAATAGGAAAAGGGGACATAAATTAAATGAAGAGATTCGATAGTTCAGTTTTCAGAAGAGAATCTATACCCCATGATGAATAGTTTCTCCTCCATCCAACTAACTGTTTGCCATCATAATCATGATGGGATCCCACAGAGGCTGTCATTCTAATATCCGCACAAGGAGGTAGATTGAGGTATTTAATGAGAATTTTGCTAATCTTGCGCCCCGAAATCTGAGAATACTTACTACAAGAAAAAAAAAGGGCAAACCAGCACCAAGTCTGACCTTCTCTGGTTAACCTTCAAACCTTAAACACTTGGAAACACAATAGCACACACCTACTGCTCATCATGGCAGCCCTGTTCGCTTTAAGAATAGGAGAGTATCATTAGAAAAGATGGGGTAGGAAATTACCACCTTTAAATCCTGTTGCTAGTATACAGGCCCTCCAAGAGTTTTGCCAATCTAGCCTGGAGAATGAGGCGATTAAAAGCTTCCATAAAAATATTTAACAGGAAAGAGGAAATGTGATCACTTTGTCTCAAATCCCAGGACAATTTTAAAAAATCAAACAGCCTCCATTCACAATCTCAGCAAAAGAAGTTGTTGAAATACAATGGGAAACCCAACTATACTATTTCTTGCCAAAACTCCTCCTCAGGAGATCAAGGAGAAACGCCAAGAGACAAGGTCATAAGGTCTTCAATATCAAAATTGCCAAGAACTTTACAAGCAGCATTAACCATTTCATAAGTGATTAAGAAGGCATCTAAGATTCTTCTTCCACCAAAAAAAGCCGAGCTTCCCCTACCACTTTATCCACCATTAGACTACGTAGAAAATAAATATTAGATGGTTAGAATTAAATGGTAGAATTGTATTTTCATTTTCTGAACAGGTGGAATTGTCCACCACCACCAGAATTTGTTATTTTTGTTGTTTCCATTTTTCATTATGTTCCCTAAATTTTGGTGTGTCATCTTGGCCGTTGGGTGCTTATAAAAGGCACTTCTCCGCCTCTATGTAGAGGAAGTAAGAAAGAAGAGAAGAATTTCTCATTCTCAATCTCACTCAAATTTGCTTCCATTAAATTCTTCATGGTATCGGAGCCAGTCTGATCCAGAATTCTCCTTCCGCTTGCGCCAGACGCTTCAATAGCCACGGATGACCAAAATTCATCACCCGAAGCTATCTTGGGCACGTATCTTCCTAACTCCACCAACTCTAGAATGGTGGAGCAGCACTCATCATTCATCGCCAACCATAGCCTTAATGGTGATAATTATCTCCAATGGACGACATCTGTTCGGCTATTTATCCGAGGGAAAGGGCATGATGAATTTCTTATCGAGGAAAATCTAGAACCACAGTCGGATGACCCACGAGCTCGTGCTTGGAAAATCGACAACAGCATGGTAATGTGCTGATTGCTAAGCTCCATGACTCCTGAAATCAGCGAAAACTTTCTCTTATACGAATCGGCCCACGAAGTCCGGGAAGCTGCCAGTGAGTTTTATTCCAGCCGCGAGAACACATCAATAATTTTCGAAATCGAATCCACCATTCATGAGCTGCGGCAAGGTGAGCTCACTGTAACTCAGTTTTATAATTTGCTAACCCGCAACTGGCAGCAGCTCGATGTCTTCAAGGACCATCAATGGTGTTGCCCAGAAGATGCAAAAAGGTACAGAAAGATTATAGAACAAAATAGAATTTTCAGGTTCTTCATGGGGCTCAACAAAAGCCTGGATGAAGTGCAGGAACGCGTTTTGAGCACAAAACCACTGATGGGTATTCGTGAAGTCTTTTCTGAAGTTCGGCGAGAAGAGAGCAAAAAGAAGTTGATGCTAGGAGATCCTCAGTTGACTCAGCTGAGTGAAAATGCTTCAGCTCTCACTTCTCACGTCGCCGATTCCCGTGGAAAGAAGAGGCGCCCGTTCTGCGGTTTTTGCAAAAAACCAGGACACTTCCGTAAGAAATGCTGGAAGCTCCACGAAAAACCTGGAGAGAAGAAGTTCCCTAGCTCACGGTAATTTGGCGACTTCAAAAGAGCCATCTGCGCAACCTGAGAGTGCTCCCTTCAGTCCAGAGCAAATGGAGGCGTTGATGAAGTTGTTTTCGTCAAAAATGGGTACTATCTCTGCTTCCGTGGCCCAAAAAGATAATTATCCATTTGGTTTATCAGCATGGTGTAATAAAAAACAAATTTGGATTGTGGATTCTGGAGCCTCTGACCAAATGATAGGAAATCAGCATTTGCTTGGTGATTACAACGAATGTAAGAAAGATTATTTGATTAAAATAACTAATGGATCAAGCTCTAGAGTGGCAGGAATTGACCCCGCAAAAATATCATCCTGCTTGACAGTCAAATTGGTGGTTTATGTGCCTAATTTGAATTGCAATTTACTGTCCATAAGTAAATTGTGTAAAGATATGAATTGCATGGTGAAATTTGACAACTATACTTGTGTATTTCAGGACTTGACTTCGAAGAAGACAATTGGCAATGTTAGGATGGATTAAGGTCTCTACTATATTGCAGTTGATTCATCTTCCTCAAGTGGACAAACTTCTAATGTTGTATGTGTTAATTCAATTCCTATAGATTGCTCAAACAGGGATCATTCAATTATGTTATGGCACTACCGATTAGGCCACCCGAACTTTTTGTACTTAAAGTAAATGTTTCTTACTTTATTCAAGAATAAAGATCCACTTTTATTTCAATGTGAAGTATGTAAGTTTTCAAAACATACTCGCTATTCATTTTCTAGTATACCATGTAAACCCACACAACCGTTTGCACTAATCCACAAGAACTTCACAAATAAAAACTATTACTGGAAAAAAATTGTTTGTATTTTTCATTGATGATCATACTAGAATTACCTGCGTTTTATTATGTTATGGCACTACCGATTAGGCCATCTGAACTTTTTGTACTTAAAGCAAATGTTTCTTACTTTATTCAAGAATAAAGATCCACTTTTATTTTAATGTGAAGTATGTAAGTTTTCAAAACATACTCGCTATTCATTTCCTAGTATACCATATAAACCCACACACCCGTTTGCATTAATCCACAAGAACTTCACAAATAAAAACTATTACTGGGAAAAAATTGTTTGTATTTTTCATTGATGATCATATTAGAATTACCTGCGTTTTCCTTATGAGAGAAAATTCTGAAGTTAGCCAAATATTCCAGAGATTTAATATTATGATTCAAAATCAGTTTCACACTTCAATCCAATTTTTGAAAACTGATAATGTCTGTGAATACTTTGAATCTACTCTCGGAGAATACCTTAAAAAACAAGGTATCATCCACCAAAACTCTTGTGTTTACACCCCACAACAAAATAGCATAACTGAGAGGAAAAATAAGCACATTCTTGAAGTTGGTAGATCTCTTGTGTTTACAACCCATATTCTTAAATTTTTATGGGGTGAAGCCATCCTTACTACTACCTATTTGATCAATCGAATGCCTTCTCGGGTACTAAAGTTCGAAACCCCTTATAAAACCCTCCTTCAGAGATTTCCAGAATCTTATCTCTTAAACACTAGCCCATTAAAATTATTTGGCTGCACTGCCTATGTTCACATTCACACTCACCTCAAGGGAAAATTTAATCCAATGGCCCTTAAATGTGTGTTTGTTGGTTATTTCTCAAGTAAAAAAGGATACAAATGTTTTTTCCCACGAACTCATCGTTTTTACAATATCATGGATGTAACATTTTTTTAAAACCAACCATTTTATCCTACAACTAACATTCAGGGGGGAGAATTTCACTCAAGTATATCAGTTATGGGATATAAGTCCTCTACCATTCCATACCCCGATACCATCTCCTCAAAATACAAATATCCAGGAAATCCTTGAAAAATCATAATCCATCACAGATACTAATGACACATTACCTGCAAAAAGTAAGCTATATGTCTACACAAGGAGAACCAAAAACAAGATAATAGAATTCCTAAATCAACTACACAAAGTCATAAGTCAACTCCTGGACCAAGCACTCATAATACTACAGGTAATAAAATTTCTGACCCGTTGGTTAATATTGAAACTAATGTTGAACTTCCTGTGCCTTTGAGGAAGGGTGTTCGTTCTTGTACCTTGCATCCAATACAAGACTATGCGTCATATGGCAAATTATCTCCTACCTACAAAGCCCTTGTCAGTAAGCTTGATAACAACATGATCCCAAAAACTATTCACGAGACACTTAAGTTTTCAGAATGGAAAGCCGCAATCCAAGAAGAGCTCGCAGCACTTGAGAAAAATAAGACATGGGAAGTTTCTGACCTACCTTCAGGGAAAAAGACTGTAGGATGCAAATGGATCTTCACCACAAAATACAATCCTGATGGAACTATAAGCCGTCATAAAGCTCGCCTTGGTGTCAAGGGCTTCACTAAGTCATATGGAATTGAATATCATGAAACTTTTGTTCCAGTTACAAAACACAACACTATACGTGTCCTATTCTCCTTGGCCTCTAACCTTGATTGGTCGTTTAATCAATTGGACGTAAAGAATACCTTCCTTAATGGAGATCTAGAAGAAGAGGTTTACATGGAAGTTCCCCCTGGGCTTAGCATCGGGCCTAAGAAAGTATGCAGATTAAAAAAGGCTCTCTGTGGTCTTAAGCAGTCTCAGAGGACATGGTTTGAGAAATTCTCAAGGGCAGTGAAATAAATGGGATACATTCAGTGTCAATCTGATTACACATTGTTTGCCAAAAACAAATCAACAGGGAAGAAATATGTCCCGATTATATATGTTGACGATATTATCTTAACAGGAAGAATTTCTCATTCTCAATCTCACTCAAATTTGCTTCCATTAAATTCTTCAGACTATAGATGTGAAAATGGGTAAGCAGGCTTGATAGGCTATTCAGCTTGAACAACAAACCTGATCCATTTCAAATTTTTAAATATCTACTTGAGCTCAGTCAGTTATGGCCGCAAATCCTGACTGAATGGGCTTGGGCCAAGCCAAAACTATTTGGTTTGCCCGAATCCCTTTAACTCAACCTGCACAATTTGACAAGTGAGGTCTGGCCTAGCCTGATGACCACCTTTGATGAGGGGTCAAGCCCATACCAAACTCAGGCGT